TATTTTTATGTGGTGTTGGGGATTAAACCCAGTGCCTCACACATGCTAGGCAAGTGCTCTGCCACTGAGCTACAGCCCCAGCCCTCTACCTTTCACTATTTATAGTGCATTTGTTTCCATCTTTTGCTTTTCATCTTTTTTTTATCTTGGTATTTAAGATGTTTTTCTTATCCAGGTGTGGTGGATCATGACTTAATCCCAGCCCCTCCAGAGTCTAAGGCAGGAGGACCACTTGAGCCCAGGAGTTGGAGACCAGCCTAAGGCAACAAAAAACATAATGATTCTCAAAAGAAGGAAAGGAAAAAAAATTGCTTTCTTTTAGACAGTATATAATTGGGTCTTTCTTTTTTTTATCCAAACTGACAGTATCTTTTAATTAATATGTTTGGGACATTTTTATTTATTGAAATTATGAATATATTTGGATTAAAATCTGCCATCTTGGTATTTTTTATTTGTTCTAGTATTTCTTTTGTACCTCTAATTCTGCTTGCTTTTGGACTATGTATTTTTATTACTCTGTTTTCTCTCTACTGCTGGTCAGTTACTTAACTTTATTTTAAAACTATTAGTAGCTGTTTTTAAATTTACAATGTTTAGCTTTCATTACTCACAATCTACCTTCAAATAATATACCATTTCTTGTATAGTGTCAGAATTTTATAATGGTATACTCTTAGTATATGCTCCTCATCTCCTGTGTTATTGTTGCCACTTGCTATAAACTTATAATACATTGTTATTATTTATATTTAGTCAATTGTCTTTTAGAACATTTACAAATAAGAAATTCCTATTACATTTATGGCAGTGTAGTGCACTGTAAATGGACTGTCTCAGCTTTTGTTTTCTGAAATGAATCTTACCTTTTGAATGTTTTCATTGGCATAGAATTCTGGATTGACAGTTGTGTTTGTCAATTTAATACTTTCAACATACCTCTTATGTCTTACAGCAAATCTGCTGTAATTATTTTTGTTTATATGTAACATTTTTACTGCTTCACCATTTTCTCGTTCTCTGTTTTTCTACAGTTTCAATACAAAGTGTCTAGATTTAAAAAAAAAAAAAAACTTGTTTAGACCTTTCTGAATTTGCAGTTTCATACCTTCTAGAAATCTATTAGTTTTCTTTAAATATTTCGTTTGTTCAGTGTCCCTCTCCTCTTCTTATGAGGTACCAATTATCCCCCACTCTTGCATGCTGTGTGTGCTTTTAACTTTTTATTCTTTTATCCCAATTTGGGTGTTTCTTGTTCATCTACCTTCAAATTCATATTTTTTTCTTTATCATGTTTACTGATGAGCCCAAAGGGATTCTTCAACTGTTGCTGTTTTTTCATTTCTAGCATTTTAATTTTTTTTTTTTTTTTTTTTTTTTAGTTTCCATCACTTTTCTAAAATCCCTTGTTTCCTCAAGCATGTTGTCAAACTTTTCTGTTAGACTCCAACATCACTCATAGTCAGGAGATGCTGGGAGGCATCATAAGACCTGATTTCAAAATATATTACTGAGCCATAATAATAAAACCAGCATGGTACTGGCATGGAGACAGACACACAGGGTAAGGAGATGGAATAGAGGACCCAGAAATAAATGCACACACCTACAGCCACCTGTGTTTTTGACAAAAGTGCCAAGAACATACGTTAGAGAAAAGATATCCTCTTCAACAAATGATTCTGGGAAAACTGGATATCCACATGTGGAAGATAGAAAGTAGACTCACATTTCTCACCCTGTACAAAAATCAACTCATGATGGATCAAAGACCTGAATGATAGTTCTTGAAACTTTAAAAACTACTAGAGAAAAAATATAGGGAAAACACTTCAAGGTATTAGCACAGGCAATGATTTCCTGAATAAGATTCCAATAGCTTAGGAAATAAAAGCAAGGACTGATGACTGGGATTACATCAAATTCAAAAGCTTCTGTACAGCAAAGGAAACAATCAACACAGTGAAGAGAAAACCCACAGAATAGTAGAAAACCCTTGCCAGCTATTCATCTGACAGAGCAGTAATATCCAGAATATACACAGAACTCAAAAAAATTAATGACAAAAGAAGTAATCCAGTCAATAACTGGGCAAATGATTCTCAAAAGTAGTAAATATGGGGCTGGGGTTGTGGTTCAGTGGTAGAGTGCTTGCCTAGCATGTGTGAGGCATTGGGTTTGATCCTCAGCACCACATAAAAATAAATAAATAAATAAAATAAAGGCATTGTGCCCATCTACATTTAAATTTTTTTTTAAAAAAGAAGTAAATATATGAAATAAAGATGTTCAACATCTTGAGCCATCAGGAAACTGCACATCAAAACTTCACTGAGATTCTTTCTCACCCTCTTCAGAGTTTCTATTATTAAAAAAAATAAAATACTGGTAAGGATGTGGAAAAAAAGAAACCCTTATACATTGTTAGTGGAAATGTAAATTTTACAGCCACAATGGAAAACAGTATCAAGGTTCCTCAGAAGACTAAATACACAGCTACCATATAATCCAGGTATACCACTTTTGGGTACATATACCTAAAGGAGATGAAGTCAGCATACCTATGCTTATTGCAGCACTAGTCACAATGGCCAAAATATGGAATAAGCCTAGATGCCCCTCAACAGATGAATGGATTAAAAAATATGGGATATATACATAATGGAATATTATTCAGCCATAAAGAATGAAATCTTGTCAGTTGTAGGAAAATAGATGGAACTGGAGGTCATCACATTAAGCAAAACAAGCAAGAACATAAAGATAAGTATTGCATATTTTCTCTCATGTAAAAAGTAAAAGAACCAAAAAAACCAGAATCACCAAAGTAGAAAAGGGAATATTAGGGAAGGGGAATAAGACCAGGGCAAGAGAGGAGAGATGGGAGGACAAAGGCAGTGGGGAGGTAAAGATAATCAAAGCATGAAATGCACATGTATGGAAATGACACTCTTGAAATTCATTACATTTGTAGAATTAAAATGTATTAATAATTATTATTTTTAAAAGACAAGTTGTAATTCTGCAGTTCATTCAGATTTTTTGGTGGGGGACATACTGGGAATTGAACCCAAGGGTGCTTTACCACTGAGCTACATCCCCAGTCTTTATTATTTTTTGAGACAGACTCTTACTAAGTTTTTTAGGGCCTCACTAAATTTCCGGAGCTGCCTTCAAAATTGTGATCCTCCAGCCTCAGCCTCCCCAATTGCAGGGATTACAGTTATGTGCCACCACACCTGGATCAGTTTTTTTTCTTGTTGCAAATGTGGGTATGATGCTTTTTCTGATTTTCTCCTACCTAAGAAAAACTTAAATTCTCCTCAGTAGTTTGTCATTGTTGCTTTTGGACTTTGTTAGCTACCCCTGAATTTAAAATGAAAATGCAAAAAATCATGCATTGCCAAAACATTCTTTTTTAAAAGATTTTTTTAGTTGTAGATGGATACAGTATATCTATCTATCTATCTATCTATCTACCTACCTACCTACCTACCTACCTATCTATTTATGTGGTGCTGAGGATCAAACCCAGTGCCTCATACATGTGAGGCAAGCTCTCTGCCACTGAGCCACAACCCCAGCCCCAAACATTTTTTAAAAAATTAAATTTTTATTAAAGCTTTATATATGATTCTACTTAATATAAATTTCAAAGAATAGGCCAACTCTAATGTTTAAGGCACAGATTAAGTGTTAAGACCTCAGCAGTGGGTTAGCTCTGCATGGGAAGAGGGGTAGTGACTGAAGGAAACCCCTGGGCTTCTGGATGCTGGCAGAATCACCATCCAGGTTCTACTTTTTAACCTGGCTGGTAGTCATGTGAATGTTCACTTTGTGAATAATCACTGAAGCTGTATATTTATGTCTTCAGTATTTTCCAGCATATATATTGTACTATGTGAGAATCTCCGCTAACCCCCTAAAAAAGTTTTTGCCCAGTGGTAAGCTTTCTTTTTACTATATGTGCTTCAAATGGAGGAGTGGGACTGGTTAACCTCTAACACACTCTTGAGTTCTGTCTAGGAGTCTATAAAGATATTCTGCATTTTCTTGAAGTAAGGCAGGGGTTGGGGGTTCTTTCCTTATGTGGAACTGAGAGATGCAGACTTCAGATAAAGGCATATGTAAATGTTGGCTTTACTATGCACAAAAGCTGGATTCAAAGATAAGTGACCACAGTAGGCTATGAAATACCCAAACACTACTTAAGTCCAAAGCAGAGAAGGGAGACTTCAGTTTTCCCTGTAGCCTGCCTTAGGAATCTTAGAATTTGGCTGAAGTCAAAGAACATAAAGGGCTTTGGGAAGAGATTTTCCTTTAGGATGAGTCACAGCGAGTAAGGAAGTCTACTTTCTCCCTTGGATAGCAGAATAGTCATTCTCTAACACTCTATATAGACACATGAAAAGAAAGAAAGAAACGTTCCTCCTTAACAGGCAGACAAGCAGACTAGCTATGTTCGAGTCTTATCTTTGAAAAGAGCTCTTAAAATCTTTTTTTTTTTTTGGTGGTACTGGGGATTGACCTCAAGGCTTCTTACTTCTTGCTTTTATGGCTTATTTCCCTCCTTCCACTTCTAAATCTGTATGTATAATCCATCTCCATGTTTTTCCCAATAACTTTCTCTGAAGCACCTGTAGACACTAATTAAGTGAAGGAGAAGAGGGGACAGTCATATGTAGAGACTACTTTTCCCATTTCTACACTAAATGTTCCAGATTATGGCATATAAAGCTCCTCTAAATCTTGCTAAAATCCTGTTTTTCAGAGTGAAGTTTGGTTTAAGTACTTGCTTTTTAGTATGCAGAAGTGCTCAATGGTCTTCTATATCGTTTCCTTCCTAAATTAACAATAAAAATAACCATCTGCAACTTTAAGTCATTATTTCCTTCTCAGTGATGAATGATGATTACTGTGTCCACAAAGGTTTTTACTCGTGATATAAATTAGTATGGATAAGAGGTCCCCAAATTTCAGTTCACATACAGCAGCACATGTTCCTTTTAACTGGACTTTTATTTTTATTTAGACATATTGTAATTTATATACAGTTGCAAGAAACAATATAGATTCCATTTGTCCTTAATCTGATTTCGCCCAATAGTAATATCTTGTAAAACTGTAGTTCAATATCACAAGCAAGGTACTGACATCAAAGAATCACAATAGAGAATATCTCCATCATCACACAGATCTCTCCTATTGCCCTTTTATAGCCACATTCAATTCCCTCTGTCCCCTTCCCTCTATAACATGGTTGCCAGTAATCTGTTTTCCATTTCTATAATCTTGTTGTTTTAAGAATGTTGAAAGGGATTGAGTTTTTCACCATGCATAATTATCTGGAATTCACCCAAGATATTGCACATATCCATAGTTTGTTCATTTTTAACTGTGGAGTCATATTTTAAGGTATACATGTACCACTGTTTGCTTATCCATTCACCCATTCAAGAAATTTTGGGTTATTTTTGGCTCTTACACATAAAGTGGCTATAAATAGCAATACAGGGTGTTGCCTGAAAATGTGTTTATAATGATATGCAACTCTTTTCCTAACTTTCTGGCTGATAACCACAGAACAAAGGACATCAAAGCATTTGCCAAATATCCTAGACCACTTCCTTATAACTGACAATTAAATAATGACTCATTCTTATCCTTACTTGCAGTTTTACAACTATCTCTTACCTGACCTTGCAAAGTCCTTGACTGAGCCTTAACTAGATAAGATAAATGTTTTTCAAAGCATATTATTTGAAACATGAACTCCTGAAAAGTTCCTAAAAGGTAGTGGTGGAGGGGGGTTCATGGCCACATTGAAGAATATATTACTCTTGAAATTAACAAATGCACACTGATGTACAAAAGGAGGAATTCAGTAGCCAGCTACCCAAGTTCACATCCCAGATTCATCACTAGCTAGAAATAGTAACCCTTGGCAAGACACTTAACCTTCCTATACCTAAGTGTCTTCATTTGTAAAATGAATAGTATTCCACTCATATGAATGGAAGAATGTGAGGACACATAGAAAGCACTTGATAAATATTATTTATTTATTTCTATTACTGCCATGACAAATTCAAATTTTCATAATACATAGGCCCTATTCCTGGGGATGCAGATTCGTTAAGTATGGGGTAAGAGTCTGGTCTTGATGGAAGCAGAGGCTCAACTTTATTAAAAATATGTCCAAGATAAATACTATATAGACAGTATTTAAATGCAGACCAAATTTCTTGGAGGGGAGGCATTACATTTGTGTCCATGTACAAATTTAGTATATCCTTTAAATGATTAACTCTGCTATCCTGAAGAGTGTAGTTCTCTCTCATGTTGGGATTATAACATCATAAACCCATGATTCCTCAAGAGGTAGTTCAATAAAACAAAAAGCAGTTTGGTGCAGTTGACACCAAAAAAAAAAAAAAAATCCTAAATATATAGCAATTAGCATTGATACATGAAAATTTTAGCTGTGGGTCATAGCTTAGCAAATCAAATGTACAATAAGATATTATTTCCTTAGAAATAAAACAATCATGATTGCTATTATTTCTTAAGGTTCTACCACCACAGTGCTTGTTTCCAAAGGTCTCTTTCTGATCAAATACGAGGACAATTTCCAGGGCACACAGGGAATCATTCTGGAGGCGGTGGCAATCTTCTGACCACTTCTACAGCAATCCTCAGGTAGGCTTTAGCCTGGAAAAAAACAGATTCATTTGTTCCACATTTCTCCCAGTAGACACTGAATGACTCATGAACTGTTTGTCATAGATGCCCACTGTATTTGATGGTAAAAAGGTTGGCTGAGAGGAAGAAATTCAGTAGGGAGGAGATAATGCTGTGTATATTACAGGTGGGGCAGGGGAGAAAGGATTTTAGATTATGGTAATTATTTGGAAGGTAACTTTCTGAAAAAATTTGTAGAGCCAGCAATTACTGTTTTTCAAACTCTAATCCTAGTGTCAACACACAAGAAACCCAGTGCAGTTGTAGAAAAATTATACCTTCCTCCTCTGATAAGTTGATAATCCTGAGTTAGATACTACCAGAACTGCTTTGGCATAGAGGTCTTAGTCATTTTAAGGAGGATTATTTATCACGACCCTATGGTTTATCTTTAGAAAGCATTTTCTTCATTCTAAATGGTTTGTAACACCAGCACTGAGTACCTGTGGGCTCTTTTACCTAGCAAATTTTGGGTGTCATCCAAGATTTTCTGGTTCAGTGTTACACTCTTCATCACTGGGATCTGCAGTGCAATGAATTACTAAGAGAAGCTTCTAAACCAGAGTGGGCCACAAATTAAACCAAAGCCCATGTGTCCTAGTTAGAACAATGATCATAGTATTTGAATTTTATAAATTTTAAAAACTAATTGTCATGCAAATATTACTTTCTTGACTTACCCTACTCATAAAACACAACTACAAAACAAACAGTAAGATTTTCTAAAACTATTGATATATTTAAAGTCATGCACCTTATACTATGTATCAGTATACTATGTATCAGTGATAACAGTTAAAATTTACTGAGTACTTAATATTTGGCAAGTATTTCATTTATCTACATAGTTACCATAGTGGGTAAATTCTGTCATTATTCTCACTTTACAGATGAGAAATCAAGACCCAGAAAAGCAAAGAGTCTGTCCAGAGCATTAATGCTAGTAGATACTGAGCTGGGCTTTGAACCTAGCTGACCAACCTCTCAGCTCCGCACGGTAAAAAGATATATTTGAGGTGTGTTTGCTGACTTGATGAAATGCGTTAAGGATGCTTCACATATCTTCATTTTTAGAGACTGCCTGAACCCTAAGAATTATATTTTAATTTTACAAGAAAACTGTTAAAATTTCATCTTAAAAAGTTCTTTAAAAAAAAAGAAGCTTTCTAAACATGGATAAGTTAAATGTTTTTTACAGCGTACCTACTATATCAAGTACTTCACACTTAGTCATGTAAAAAAAGCATCATGGGTTCAACTTATATGAAGAAACTGGAAGTTGTTTGTTCAAGGTCCTAATATGTGCAGATTGGAAAACATTCACAGTAGGTCCAACTCACTCTAATGCCCAGCTCTTTCTACTATACCATATATTAAGCAGTTATTCACAACACAAGTAATTATAATCATAATGAATAGTCTAAAAATGGTTTAACTCTGTTATATTTTATAGAATCAATCATTTTTGTTTAAAATGGAAATAACTTGTACTTAAAAATAAATATTTTTCTCAAACTTAATGTGTTAATTTTCACTCATCATCCTTACAAATACTCCTTTTCCCCCATACTGTGGGATGTAATGATATAAAGGGAAGCAGAAGAGCTTGAGGGTGAAGAATTGGGGCCTTAAAGCAGATAGGCCAGGTTTGGAATCTCAGCATCAGTACTTATGAGCTGAGGGGACACTGGTAGGTTACTTGACCCTTCTAGTCTTAATTTTCACATCTGTAAAGTGGTTATAAAATATATTTACCTAAAAGGGCTTGGGGGAATATTAAGTGAGAATAAGGCATGTGGAGTGCTGGCACAGAGGAAGCAGATAGGATTTATGAGGAGCTGCTGCTATTATCATCATACACTTGAGAAATTTGCAATCTCATTTAAGAGCTCATATTAACATGCCCTTTGAGCACTTTTCCCACCTGAGGAATAATTAAACTAAACTTTTCCTTTTTGTTTAATACGTATCTGGCAAAAGGTCACACATACATCAGATGTAAAAGATTTGACTGAGATTTCCCAAACACTCTCTTCTTCCATCACCTCAACTCAACACAACTGATCATTCCTTTTTACTCTAGGTCTCTTTATTAGACCGCCTAGAAGCACAAATATACATATAGAACCTATTTGTCTGCAACAGTGGAGAACCAATATGCAAGAAGTTTATGGAAGTTTCCTTTGTCTTTAGATGTTGAAGTTTTAATTTGTCATGCATGGTCATTTCATATTAAGAATGTGAGGTGATACTTTGGAAAATAAGAGACAATAAATTTTCCACTTACATTTGTAAATCTTTACCACAAGTTTCTTATAGCACATTTTTCTGCACCTAACATTTGTACTTGATAGAAAGGATAAAGCCACAAAATTATCAGTCAATCATGGGCCCATTTCTTGTATCCTGGTCTCAGTCAAGGGCAAAGACAGTTTTAGTTGAATTAACAATTACATTCTGACCTGCATGAGGCCATGCTATTGTGTTTCTACCTTCTAAGTAACCACCTTCCCCACCACCCCCACCTTCCTCTATTGCTTTCCCTGGCTGTTAATGCCACTCACATTTGGAGTTTTCCTCCTTTTCCCTAAGTGATGTGTGTATGTATAGGGTTTGGCCATTTGCTGGGTCCATAGCAGCCTGTCAGTGCTTTTAATTGGTGCTACAAGTCCTTCCAACTTTTCCAATGATATCTCAAATTCACTAAAATTCACACCTTTAAATTAATCACTGCCTTTAGTGTTTGCCCCTTCTGAAAGCTAAATGTTGTCGGGAATGTTAACTCCTTAGTGCCCTTAAAGTATTCTGTGGGTAGAGAACTGAGAGTTCTGACAGTTGGTGCTAGAGGAGGGAGTGATGGGATAGAAGGGAATGTGGATTAAGAAGGAAGTCAAAAACAAAAGATGAAACTTTGCTGATTAGTAATTTTGCTTGTGGATCAACCTCTAAAAGCAAACAAAAAAGTGTAGGGCTAAAGGGCTAATGAGCAACTGCAGGGAGCCACTCATGAATTACATCAAGCCATGTAGATTTAGGTTTTTCCTTGGGATCCATCCACTGCTCCCCTGCATGCATTAGACTGACCAAGGCACATGACCTCTATCTCCGCTCTATGAGGAAGACCCCTCCTCATACCTCCGAAGTTGGGTGTAACCCGTTGGCAACTGGACAGCCCACCTCTTACCTTATTTGGCAAAGAACATTCCATGAAAAACTTTCGATGTTCCCTGCTATAAATAAAGCAAGCGGGAGCTCCATTTTGTTCTTTTCGGTGTGCAAGCTCCATCCTAAGATCGGCTAGCTTGTCCTTTCTAGAAACATTTCCTGTGTTCTTTTTTTTTTTTTTTTTTTTTTGGTCACACAACCTTTCTTTCTTAGTCTTTATTTCTCAGCCAGCCTATTCCACCAAGAGGAACCCCATTCCCACCGCCTGCGTGGTGGGACATGGGCATGAAGCAACAACTAATTTTACAGTTTCCATCCTATTAACTTTTGTGGAAGTTTATGTTGGCAAGTAAATTCTCCCTTTATTCTTTAAATGAAGGTGTATAGGTAGAATTGGCACTGAGCTTCTGCCAATACCACAGGATCTATTGAAAAGTGTTGTGATTACTTTCTGGGACTGAATTTCCATTTCAGTTTGTAGGGGAAAAGGAAAGAGTTTTATGAGCAGGCAAAACTCATTATGAGACTAACTAGAAGAATGCAGATTCCAAGACTCAATTACAACTTCCTAACCTTCAGGAGTTAACTTCTTTAACACTGAAGCTGGGAACTCTACTCTCATTTCAAAATTCAAATTCTGCCACTGTGAATTTCAAATGCCAAGGGAGAGTGACATTTATCTAGTGTTATGTAAGGGAATGGGCATAAGTGGGCTCAGCCCTTTAATAAAGGGAAGAGAAAAGACATTTTGTGTCATGACATCTTAGATGCAAGTTTCAGAAGTTAATAAGTACAGTTGTATTCTATTTGGCATTTTCAAAGTATTTTCACATTATTATTTCATTTCATCCTCATTATGACATAAATTTATAGATGTAGAGAAAGGTTCAAGAGGTTAGGGAAATTGCTTCAGGTTACACTTAGAAACTGGCAAACTTGGTGATGAATCCCTGCGCTGACTCAGCTTTAGTCTTTTCCTTCCATGCAGAGATCCCCTTTGAGAATTTAACAAAACTTCTTGTTCAGTTCCCCAGAAAAACGTTTCTTCACACATTCTGGATTTAATTTCAGGGGATTCTCAGACCCATGTGAAGATCATGTTAGGCCCTGCAGCTGTGCATGCCAGGGCAATCCAAGAGATAGAGTCTGCTTATCCTCTTCTCTAAGCTCTGTGATATTATGAACAGAGTTGAACTGAAACTCAGCTTATATACACAACAGACACTGAACTAACCTTGCAGTTATTAGAAAGTGAAGCAGACAATGCGTTGGGAAGAGAATGCATGGGCTGTACATCAGAGGTGAGCGTGGAATTGGCTTTCAGTACTATCTTAGACAAGCTTCCTTAATGTAAATGAACCCCTGCTATTCATCTAAAATAATGTAGATTATTATACCTATATTATTATACCTATATGCTATGAGAATCAAATAAAATAATGTATTCAATATACTGAAGCACTATAGAAGAAACTGAAGAAATAATAGCTATAATATAGGACCCAGAAGTTGATATACTGGAAAGAAGCTAACATTTGAAAGGAATAGACTTGTCTTTTAATCACACCTTACAATTTAATACCTCTGTAACCTTGGAAAAATTATTTAAATTCGATAAGCCTCAGGTTCCTCATCTGCAATAACGGGGCTATTTACATATTAATTTTTTGTGAGGATTTGTGAGGATTAAAATAATGTAAATAAAATGCCTGACAGTGTCTAGCACACTATAATTAACATTATTATTAAGAAGATGACTAGTAATAACAAATATCTGCAAACCATGAGTAGGAAGTAATATCTTCCATGGAAAGAGAACTAAATACAACATATTATTATTTTTTCCTTCTTATGGCCATGTCTAAATCTTAAAATTGATCAGATATCTTCATATTCTTACATGAAATTCTCATCATTTTTACAATAACCTCACCAAATCAAAGTTAGCCTAAACTATAAAGGTTTAGGCTGTCCTCCAACTCTAGAAATGTTACCCAGAAACAGTAAAATAATGGGTCTAATATTTATGCAAATATAGATAATATTGTAAAAATATGTAACTCCAAAAAACTCCACAAACACAGTTGTTTAGACTTTCAAATCATCTTAACTATCTTTGGATGACTGTTTCATGTTCTCTTATATTATATTCCTCTAACATCACAGTGATGTGTCTTGCTTTTGGAGAATTTCAAAGAAAAAAAATAATGAATAGGTGGAAAAATAATTAAAAATCAAAACCCATAATTGAAATAAACTAGTAAGTAACTTTTCTTATTTATAAGGAATCACTGTGGGATGTCTAAATATTCAGTTCTTGGGAGGCATTTGAATGTGTGTAATTTTAAAAAAAAATCCTTCAATTTTGGTATTTTTCATATACTACATTTATAAAATACACCTATAGTAGTTGGGATTGTCAGATTTTAATTATGAAAGCAATTAAGAATTATAGTTTTACACTACTCTAAGATTTCAACTCATTCCAGGCAGAATGACAGCTATTAAGAATACAAACAATAAGTGTTGGCTAGGATGTGGGGAAAAAGGCACAATCATACATTGCTGGTGGGATTGCAAATTGGTGCAGCCAATATGGAAAGCAGTATGGATATTTCTTGGAAAATTTGGAATGGAACCACCATTTGACCCAGCTATCCCACTCCTCTGTTCATACCCAAAGGACTTAAAAGCAGCATACTATAGTAATGCAGCCACATCAATGTTTGTAGCAGCACAAGTCACAATAGCTAAATTATGAACCAAACTAGATGCCTTTATTCATAAGTGGATAAAGAAACTGTGGTATATATACACAATGGAATTTTACTCGCCATTAAAAGAGAATAAAATCATGGCATTTGCAGGTAAATAGATGAAGTTGGAGAATATCATGCTAAGTGAAGTAAGCCAATCCCAAAAAACCAAAGGCTGAATGTTTTCTATCATAAGTGGATGCTGAACCATAATGGGGGTGGGGAGGGGAGCATGGGAGGAATGAAGAAACTTTAGATAGGGCAAAGGGAAGGAAGAGGAAGGGAGGGCATGGGGGTAGGAAAGATGGTAGAATAAGGTGGATATCATTACTCTAAGTACATGTATGAAGACACAAATGATGTGACTACTTTGTGTACAACTAGAGAAATGAAAAATTGTGCTCTATATGTGTACTATGAATTGAAATGCATTCTGTCATGTATAATAAATTAGAGTAAATAAATTTTAAAAAAGAATTAAAGTTTTGCTATCTGAAAGCTATCTATACAAGACTAAAAAAGGAAACAACATTTTTTTTAGTCTTTGAAGAATCGTTTTTATTGTGGAATATAAAAAGAACATAAAGCATAAATATATTACTTTTCTAGTGGAAACATATGTAATCACGACCCAGACCAAGAACCATACTTGCTGATACCCCTGAAATCCTCTATTCACTCCTTTCTAGTCATCTTACAAAGTAGCCACTGCCCTGACTTAATGGTGATCACATCTTTGAGTCTTGGTCTTAATTTTTTTTTAATTTGTTCCAATTAGTTATACATGACAGTAGAATGTACTTTGACACATCATACATAAATGGAGAATAATTTAACATTTAATCCTAAAAGGTGGAGAAAAGTAAAACAATGATAACTGCTATGCTGGATTTACTCGAAGATCATATTACCAGCAACTCAATCACCTGTGCCGTAGCTATTGACCCTTAAGAAAGGGAAAAGGCCCCTGGGCCTCTGAAAGAGATAACTCAAAATGAATCAACTTTACTCATCCAAAATTCTTGGTGTAATTTATTCTTTATTTATAGCTCTAGCCAAGCTGGTATCTTTTATTTTTTCAGTTCACAGAAGATTTGACAAAGCAAATTAGAATGAAAAGGGTAGAGATTATGGAAAGACAAAATAATATAGTACTATAAGGTCACACCCATTAGCTAAGGGGTTAAAAAAAAGACAAACTATTAGAATAAGATTGACTGGGGATATTCAGGAAAGGGACACAAAAACTACACCAAAATTGATCTACTAGTTGACAACTCAATTTCTAAAGTTAAATAGCAAGTACTACTTAGGACAGAAAAGATACATTTTACTTCTACTTTGAAAAGATTAAAATAAAAGATTTTATTCTTAAACATTTTATATTTTGGCAATTTTTAAAATCTATTAAATGTATCCCCAATGATATTAGTTAATGAAACATTACTAGTCTTTGCATTCCACTTCTCTGATGTTGCACACTCTTTATCTATCCAAGGTAACACTTTATTACATTAGCTTCCCTTCTCCCAACAATCAACTGGACTTGGAATACTGAAATATAATTATCTCATTATATTTCACATATTTTTAATAGTTTTTTAGTTGTCAACAGACCTTTGTTTTATTTATTTATATGCAGTGCTAAGGATTGAACCCAGTGCCTCACACATGCCAGGCAAGTGCTCTGTCACTGAGCCACAACCCCTAGCCCCTTTACAGACTCTTATTTGTGTTTGTCATGAGAAAACTGGTTGGGTGATGATTCTCTATAAGTGAATTTATTGAGCTGGTAGTTTAGAGTCAACACTGGCAGCCTGCCATATAAAACAGTGATTAATTTAAATATATTTTGAACAAGTTAACTAAACCTTGTTTATATATATGCCCTCTGAACATGAACAGATAAGCTTGATCATCCCAATGTTATTTTTCAAAAAGTGTATATCCTGTAAAAAGTAATAAAAAATATTTAAAATCATAACTTACCTCATCACTTTCAGGCTGTGAAAACACAACTGGCTGGCCTGTATCTGAAGTCTCCCTTATACTGGGGTATAAGGGGATCTCTCCTGAAAGAGCCCACAAGATATTTGTTAGTACCAGAGAGGTCTTTTACAGGCATTTGGAATTCCACTATTTAAATTTTGGGAAAAAAATAAATAAAATCTGAACAGAACTCATTTGAATTAAACTGTATTATGACTATCCTTGAATTAAGCTGAGTCATGACATTCTCAATTTGTTAAATCTCGGACAAAGGAATTTCAAACAAAAATTTAGAGGCAAGAACTGCATGTGAGCACATGAAGTCTATGTGGCAATCAACCAATACATGAAGCCTCAATTTGCTTTTCACTGGAGGTCTTTTAGCAAGGAATAGCTTAGGAGACATTTGTAAATTATTTTCCCCTGTAATATCCAGTATAGATATATCATGCCACACAGCAAGAGGAGAAGATGCCCAGTAGTCCAAACAAACTACGACAAAATAACCTTCCAATGCTCGCAGATGAGTGAGCCAAGAGAAAGTAGGCCAACCTGTTGCTTCACCTGTCTGCCCCTCTATCAAGTAGAATCATCTTTCTTTTGCAATTTACTCATCTATGTACCATTATATGTAACTTATAAGTTTGAAGAGTTCTCAGGAAGTATATAATAAAAACCTCCACTATATAGATAGTAGTTGGAGATGTTACCTGATTTCAGTCTCAATCTCTTCATAACTGAATCTGCTGCTCTAGTTCAAGGGGTAACCCTCTGGATTCTGTGACTGAATTAAAAGGCGGGAGATGGGTCCTGAGCTGGAACTCTAAATTATTTTCCCATAATAATGTTAGACATGGCAGTCTGCAGAACTATCCAATTTTTGTGACCTGAAATCACTGTTTCTGTATCATTGTATCAATGTTTCTGATAACATTTTTAGGCTACTGTACACTTGTGAGCCATTGGTTAAAATGTAACTTCCCAATAAGAGATTGTTTCTTTATGAGATGTTTCAAATTCTAAGTAAATGACTTACAAAATTGCACCACTCATAAGTTAGGGAATTACAATATTGTCAACATAATTGAATAATGCCATTATAATTATTACACATTTACTTTATGATATAAGTGAATGTCAATCTGTTATGTCATTATGCAGATTTGGAAAATTGAACTTTCTAGGTTAGTTAATGAAAACATTGCAGAATATAATTAGTGGCTATGATTATAGCAATGTATCAAAATATATCATTAGTATTCACCTAGCATTATAGTTGCTCTAATAGTGCAAATGTTTAATAACAGTAACACATTTATCATTAACTTTTAGAAATTTAATTATAATAGAGAATGTTTTGAAATTCTTTGATCTCTAAGGGATCTTAATTTTTAACTACCTAAAACTAATAATTCATATTCTGTCTCCCTTATTCAGAATGTAATATCTGCTATTTCCCAGAACAGAAACTCACTCACAATAACAATATCAAAACATTTTCTAAAAAGTCCACTAAGTTGTGGATTTTTGAAAAATCTCATTTTAACCCAAATCTGGGTTTTGCTCACTTAAGATGATTGTAGTTCTTTTCACTAATTTAAATTGATTCTTTAATTCAGTGCTATGAACAGTGTACATAATATAAATTTCAGGTGTCATATTTTATAGACATTAGCAAATACATAAAAAAGATTATAGATAGAGGAAGATGGCAGTGAGGGAGAGGAAGAAAGAAGGGGGAAGTACTGAGGACTGAAATAGACCCAATTGTGTTAATTGCATTTATTAATATGTCCAAGTGAATCCCACAACTATATACAACTATAATGTACTAATAAAAAATATTGTAGAAAGCAGTAAATACTGTCATTTTAAAGCTGGAAAAATGACAAATACAGAAGTGATCAGGAAGGCATTTTCATTTATTCTCTAAGAACTGACACAGAAATTGCATTTATCTGTTTATACTGAAATATTTGTGCCCACTTAGCAAACAAATTGATAACCATTTTTAAAATATTGCTTCAAGATCACTGTACTTGGACCACAAAACTTTCTTCTCAAATTTAACTTATAGGCAGTTTTTATCTAGTAGAAATTATTTTCATAGTTCGTAGAACAAATCTACTAAAAAGGCCAAAGAAAGGTTAACACATAGAATGGCACTGTACTAACATAATTAAAACACAAAGCCAAAAGCCACTGATCATTTTCTGTGACACTATCACAAAGCTTCAGACCTATCTCCCCTTCTGCAATTTCCACTGCAGAACTTAACCTAGAACAACTTACCCAGAACATCAAGATCAAGGGTCTGTGCTAGCTTCTTTGCACCATCAGCACCAAAAATATGAGTTTTGTGTTTACACTTTGGACACTGGAAAACACTCATGTTTTGGACAAGACCAAGAACCTAGAATAAAAAAAAAACACATTGAAATTAAAATAAAATTACATCATATTTTAATACATCATTTCAGCACTGAGTACCTACTAGGTGGTGATACAATGAGTTATAGACTCTGCTCTCAAGGAACTCACAAGCTAGTGAGACATAGAGACATAGGTAATTAATATAGTGATAAGTACTAAAAGTCACTGAGTAAACAGGAGCCACGGAAAACTGCCTGGGAAGAATAAGAGGAGTTTTTGAGTCGCTCACAGACATTTGTTTCTTCAGGTTGCAAGTGGCAAGAGTGGGCAAGGCCTACAAAAGGAAATACAGACAGAAGAAAGGGCACAAACCCAGGCAGCCAAATGTAACTATTTGGGCCCACATAATTTGTAACCTAGTGTGTGGTCAAGACAGAAGATGGTTTATTAAGGAAGGCCAGGGTCAGAAGGTAAGGTGCCAAATGCCATCCATATATCTGAGACTTAGACACAGGAAACCACAAAGGTTTTTAAAGACAAAAAAAGGTGATATCAAAGAGGTAGTGTTACACAATCAGGTTAGTCCTGATAACAATATGGAGAAAACAAGAGGGGAGAAAATAGAGGAAAATAAATAGTTAAGAGCTTACCTGTGGGCAAAGTCTCATGGTCAATAATAGCTAACATATAACAACAACCAACAAACAGGCCCAAACAGTGCTTATTACAGATCACGTACTAGAATAAATGCTTTAAAGGGACTATCTTATTTTCTCCTCACAAAAAATTCATAAGTATTTTATCACCCCCATTCTATCCTTGTGAAAACTGAGCCTGTCAGCTCTTATTAGAATGTTATTGCTTGAAACAAAGTTTTGTAGTAATATAGAAAATTCCCATCTCTTTCTGGGTTTCCCTAGCTTCTGGCACAAAATAGATCCTTAACAGACATTCATTGGATAAATACACAGGCTCTGCAAATATAATCTGTATTCATGATCCTTTTAATCTCGCTTTCTTATTGATGAAAAACAGTGACTCCCTTCCAGAATAAAAATGCAGAACACTACCATCAGAAGCTTAGAGATAACAATGTCTGGATCATCCTATCAATTCCACCATAAGATTATCACTGCAGAAGATTAGAACATTTACATATAAAATGAAGAATAGCATTGATAGTCCATAATGAAACAGACAAGAAAGTGATAAAATTTGTTATTCTTTTGGAAAGAGGAACAGAAAAGACTAAGGTTGCCCACAACACATATAAATGAAGACAAACAGTGAAAGACATTAATTTGGAGCAAAGCATGTTCCAAGCATCTAATATATACCCTTTTGCTGATGCAAAGTATCACAAAAATAAATTACACTGGGTTTTGGTAATTCAGCACCAACTCCAGAAAGCTAGAAGAAAACACAGCTTCATAGCAGAGCACTTTTTTTTTTTTTTATTCACTATGTCCATATGAATATACTTATTGCTTGGGCAGTTTTTCTGCCATTTATGTTAAATGTTTTATATACCCTGACTGCAGGGCTTTCAACTTAAACATAAGAAATATCATTCAACAAATAAGATTAGGATATTTATAGACAGTGAAAAATCTAGGCAAGGCATATTTCAATTCATAGAGAACAGGAAAAGCCTTATTACCTTGGAATTTCTCAGACTTCCCAAGACACAAGAGACAAGAATATACCTGCAGTTTGCATGATTTACTTCTCATTATCAAATTATTCTCCATGGATTGTATAACTATCTCATATTCCCTACAGACTACATAAATGTCACAGACATAAAATATGAAACGACAACCAAACAATATTTAATGCACTCTTATTATATACCAGTAACCAGGCTAAACACAAATGCTAGCATACTGTGGTGAGCCAAACAGACTTGATGCTGGCCCCCTTGAAGCTTGAGCTCTAATTGCAGAAATGGATTAAACAAGAAACACATTTCTGTGGAAGCAAAGCACAAAGTATATGAAAGAGCAGATCAGAGAAGACTCCATTGACTCTAGAAGTCAGAGAGGGTTTCTTTAAGGAAACTTTTAACCTAAAAAATACAGGATAACCAGGCAAAAACTAGGAAAAGGGAAGAAAAATATTCAAGACAGGGAGCATATGTCTACCTTCAAGAAATTGAAAGGCCAGTCTTGAGGCCTCAGGGATGTGATGAGAGTGACATGCAATCAGGATGGCAAGGCAGGGCATATGGGCCACATTCAGGTGTCTGGGTTCTCTAATGAGCACAGAGAAGCTGCTAACGGTTTCAAGTAACAGAGGCCAAAGTGGCCAGCAGTTGTAGTGGACTTACTACTTGGGGTTCCTATCTCAGATTTAAAAAACATCACAAAATATCAGAAAAAAAAAACTAAAAAAATTTGTGTATTTACTAAACAAACACAAATTCAGGTCTGTGTGCTCCAAAATCAATCGTGGAGAGGTGATCATTTTTAGTGCTATCTAAAATATGTTCAGTTCTCCTGGGCACAAAGTTAGGATTTTTCTCCTCTGCAATTAGGTAATGACATGTAACTTGTTTTGGCCAATAAAAAGTGAGCAGAAATGCCACCTGTCCCTTCCAGGCTGAATTCAGCTTTAAGTGTTGGTTTTTCATTATCTTTCTTTATCCTGGTGCCTGCAAGCTTTCAGATGGGAGCTGCTCTGTCAGTCTGGGTGCCAGAGTTAGAACAATACAGAGGAAATGTTGAAGCCAAACCACAATGGATATGCAGCAAAAGAAAGGAAACTGGTGTGGTTTTAAACCACTGGAATTTAAGGATTGTTAACACACATGGCCTATCCCATTTTTGGCTGATACAGAAGTATATAAAGAAAATATTAGAATTCCTATTTTATGATCACCTTTTTAATTTCAATTATTGTGCTTTATAATACAAATAGAATTAATTCAGTAATATATGCATACTATATACTATATATATGTATATATAACAAATATTCATATATTGGGTATATGTTCAAGCATCATTTACTGATAAGGATTCATAATCAAAAAAGTTAGGAAATAAAGAACCCTCTGTATGTTTGAGAGCCAGGGTTTAGACAACACTTGGATCTATTACTGCTAATATCTAACTTCTTTCAGTTCAAGGATAAATGCCCCAGTAATGCTTCCTAGGTCATCTTAAATAAACTAATTCCACTTAACTTTAGAATTTGTTATCTTAAGAACTTCTCATATGTATATACCTTTGCTTGATTAAAAAATTGGTTATAATGAAACACTAATTTATAGAGGAGATGATATAGCACTGCATGTTAATTGCATATTTCACATGGAAAATAATGAATCTCAACCCACTACTCACCACATACACAAAAGTTAATTCTAGATAGATGTAGAATCAAATATAAAAAGGTAAAACAATAATACTTATAGAAGAAAATAGGTAGAGGCAGGCAGAGATTTTTCTAGAACTATACAAAGAGGCATTAAACATCAACTTGACATTTTATTAACTAGAACTTCATCAACAGAGTGAAAAGGCAGACCACAGAGCAGGAGATGGTTTTACCTGAAATATATAAATATATAAAGAACTCCTGTAAATCAATAAGGAAAAGTCAGACAACACAATAAAAACAGACACAAGACTTAATAAGCACTTCACAAAAGAGGATGTCCAATCCAAAGTACATTCATGCTTAAGACTAGTTTAGGAAAGATGAAAATCAGTACAACAAAAACAAACACAAATACCAAATGTTGATGAGGATGTGCTCATTTTTCAGCTGGGTTATTTGTTTCTAGCCCTTGAGCTGAGTTACTTAGGTATTTTGGATATTAATACCTTATCAAATGTATGGTTTGCAAATACCTTCACCCACAGATGGTCTGTTTACTCTGCTAATTGTTTCCTTGCTTGTGCAGACAAATCACATTTGTCTATTTTTACATTTGGTGCCTGTGCTTTTGGGTTCATCTCCAAAAGATCACTGATCAGAACAATGTCAGAGAACTTTTCCCTCATAGTTTCTTCTAACAGTTTTAGAGTTTCAAGTCTTACATTTAAGTCTTTAAGCCATTTTGAGTTACTTTTGTATACAACATGAGATAAGGGACTAATTTTATTTTTCTGCATGTGAATATCCAGTTATCTTAGCACCATTTACTGAAGGGACTATCCTTTTCCCATGTGTATTCATGGCACTTTTGTCAAAAAACAACTGGCCACAAATGTGTAAATTTATTTCTGGGTTCTCCATTGTTCTATTTCTTGAATACAAACAGTGTGTACGTTCACTTTGTAAAAATTCATTGTGGATACACTTCCAGTTTGTGCCTTTTAGGTAGGTAAGTCATAGTCCAATAAAAATTTGCTTAAATAAAGAGGTAGTCATGAGAAGACTAGTAATAAAGCAATAGGACAAGTAACTAAAACAATGGTATATTACTCATCTTGTATACCTGCACACAAAAATAACCATCTGATTTAAATAGGAAATACTATATAAAAACAAGAAAGTAACAGTAAAATTAAAATGAGCTGCTTGGGAGAAACAACCTCCTGTTCTTCTTAATACTACAATGAAAGATCTGAAACAAAAGTCTAACCCCAAAGAAGCTGTGAAATGATGAGGTTATAGATCTGCAATGTCCAATCAGATAATCGTTTGTCACATGGGGCTACTGACCACTTGAACTGTGGCTGGTTAGAACTGTGATGTGCTGTAAGTGTAAAATACACACTGAATATCAATGACAGTATGAGTAAAAACAGGTAAAACATATCAATACTTTTTTAAGTTTATGTTTAATTTTCAATTTTTTTGTCAAAGCATATCACAGATGCACACAAAAACATGCTCAAATCTTAAGTGTATGGCTGAATGAACTTAATAAAGTACAACCATGTTACTAAAATCCTGCTAAGCACTGCCAGCACCCTGGAAGTTTCCTTGTTACCCTCCAAAACACTTCCCCAAAGGTATATATTTCTTTTTTTGTAAATTTATTTATTCTAATTTGTTATACATGATGGAATAATGCAATTCATTTCA